GACTTTGATTAAGCCTGTCTGTGAGGCAAACCTCTAATTTCATTAAAGGCCCCTGTGGGTGAATAACGCTCTGATCCTTTGATCTTTCAAGGTCTTTGAGGTGATGGCTACAGCCTTAGCTTTAATCTCTAGATCACAACTTTTTCCAGACAATGCTCAGAAGCCATTTCTTAATTTTAGCAATTTTTGCAGTCTGGAATTTTAAAAACTGGCTTTTGTCATTATTGTTGTTAACAATTTATCTCTGTTCTTGTGTTTTATTATAAGCAGCAAGAAACCAAGCAGTATTTTTGGCACTTTGCTGGGAAATCTCCTTCCACAAAACAGCAAGTTCAAGCAGCACTTTTCCACCTTCCACATAACTGCAGACAACAGTGTCACTCAGCTTCCTGCTGCTACAACAAAAATGACCCTTCGATTTCCAGTAACACATGCCTCACTTCCTTTTGAAAACGAAGTTTGAAAGCAGCTCTCTTGTTTTTAGCTATTTGTTAGGGCACCAACCCCCTTCCAGGTATCAAAATCTGTAGGAGTGCTCTATTGCAGTGTAACAAATTATCTCCCCAAAATTGAGTGGCTTAAATTAAGTATCACCTTTGATCTCACAGATTCTCAGGGTTAATAGTCTAGCTGGGTCCTTTGACTCACAGTCACTCACAGGCTGCTGTCACCATACCAGCCTTGATTCAGGAATTGCTGTGCCCCAGTGAGTCCTAGGGCTTCTCTGCACCACCCCTCCCCCTTGAACAGAAATGTCTACCCAATTATCTGATGTGCAATAGTGAGAAAGACTCCATTTTGTTGTTTGACCACTGATGGCCTCTAAATCCCCACATCTGGGCAGCCCAGTAAGAAACCTCAAGTGTGGGAATTTCAAACCAAATCAGCCCCTGCCTGCACATGGGCACCCCACCTGGCTCTGCTCCTGAGAAACCTGAAGCCCCCTCCCTATTCCCTGCACTGCCCTTATTATCATGAGCTCTTCTCCTTGGAGAATCATTTTGCTGCTTATTATGTGAGCAATCAATCTTACTTTGTGCCCAGTGGTGCTATGTGCCATTTGTCCAACATCCACAAATCCCTGGGCGAGGCTGCCCCATGCCCAGCAGAGGACGCCGGCCACCGGAATGAACCGGTGCTGAAAGCAGGATGGCTGGACGATGCTCATGTGCAACAAGTCTTTCTTCCCTCGCTCTTGGCTCACCACCCGTGTCCATTCCATGGACAACAGGCTTGGGCGCTCAGCCAACTGCTGGCACACTTGTGCTCTGGACTGCATCACTTTATGTTGGTTCTCTTGGGTTTTTCCAAGCCTCTGCTTTAAATGCAGCTGGCCTGAGTTAGGTATAATGATGGGGAAGGGGCTGAGGTCCTAGGACAGCCTAGAGTGAATCCTGACCCGAGACTGTCCCCTAGTGGGTCTCAGGATCATTCGTTGGAGAGAATGGAGCCAAAGTTCATATGGCACCGTGCCCTGGCCCCCAGCCCAGTAGTTGTCTTGGTACCTCCTTTATCTGCTTTGCCAAATCTTGTTGTGCACTGCAGGCTAGCACCATGTGTCTGTCACATGGTGAGGACCCTGCACTTTACCCTCATCATGTCTGGCCTTATTCTAAAGATGTCCTTTTCCCATTGCACGAGGCTCTGCGGCCAAGCTGAGTTCATAGGGTGCTACCCCCAGGGCATAATGACCCATGTCAACAGTTCAGAACCAGTGATCTTAATCTCCAATAAGGCCCAACATGAGGCTGGCTATTGTTCTAATGGAGTTTATCTAGAAGCTGAAGAAGATAGCTCTTTGTACCAGGAACACATGAGCAATCAGTGGTTGTCCTGAGTAGACCAGGGGCTCATAGAGGCATGAATGGGGTCGCTAAGGCCTCATCTAGAAAGAAATGTCCTGGTGGCATCAAAGAAGTGCTTATCTCCTAGCCAGTGGTGCAGCTTGGCAAAGCCAAGGCCAACACTGATAGAGACATTGGGCCACTCTTAGACTAGGCAGTTAGACTAGGCACCACTAGGTCCTTTGTGAAAAGGACCACAAACCAAAAGTGCCACCTCCTCTGGTCCTTGTCCCACACACCAAAAAGGACAACCACGAAACACAGGGGGCCAGTGACTGCAAAGCAAGTTGCGGGATCCCCACAGCTGAGAAGCCATTCTAGACACAGCTAAGCACTGTCATACTCTGTAGCCTTATTCTGAGGGGCACAGGGTGGAATGGGAGGGCATCCCAGTCTACAGGTGATATAAAACCACCTGTAGGACTCCAGTCCAGCCGTGTTCTCAGGCAGCCACAGCATCAGCTCCTCTGTCCACCCTGATACTCAGTTCCCTCTTCATTTTTGGCCATGGGGAATTTCTGCTTATTTTCTTGAGAGCTCAGCTATATATTTAAATGGAGGTTCTTTTTCAGCTTCTAGGTGTTGAAGAAGGAAAAATTTCAGGTTATCTAACCTACAATGAGAATTTAAAAAAAATTGTTAGACTCTTGGACTGGAAATTCTTGGCCTCAGCCTCCCAAGTAGCTGGGGCTACAGGCGCCTGCCACAAAGCCTGGCTATTTTTTTCTTTTTTTTTTTTGAGACATGGTCTTGCTCTGGCTCAGGTTGGTCTTGAACCTGTGAGCTCAGGCAATCCACCTGCCTCAGCTTCCCAAGTGCTGGGATTACAGGCATGAGCCCAGCCTCTTGGAATTATAAAATTTTTAAATCTCCATAGTACAGATAGATAGACAAAATCATCGAGTTCCTTTGGGAGCAATGACGGCTGTCAGAGGCAGAAGCCACAACACATCTGATCTTCCACTCAGGAATCCAGAACCCCTACCCAGTAGTCACCTTATCCAGTGGTAATAGAGACAGGAAGATGACACTGCGGTCAACGTCATTGCTCACAATGAAACTGGAAGTGGCAGCTCGGTGCCTGTGGCTCAAGCAGCTAAGGCACCAGCCACATACACCCAAGGTGGCGGGTTCGAATCCAGCCCAGACCTGCCAAACAACAATGATGGCTGCAACCAAAAAAAAAAAAAA